TAGGGCTTGTTCTTGACACACAGAATTCTTTCCATATGGCTTCCTGACTTTAGTCAAAACAACTAATCATAAATTCTTCAGTTCATGGGAGGTGGCTGGATTAGTTCCAGACTGACCTGCCTGTTGAAGCCTAACAGAATTGAATTAAATTAATGATTTGGAGCTGATCCAGATTCCTCCATATTCTCTCTCTGTCTGTCTCTTTGTCTGTCTGTCTCTCTCTCTGTCTCTGTGTGTCTCTGTATATCTCTCTGTATTTCTCTCTGTCTCTGTTTCTCTGTCTCTCTCTCTCTGTCTCTCTCTCTCTCTCTCTATTAATGTGTCCATTAATTTCTATCTCTACAAAACCTGGTATCCCACCATCAATTTCTTCCTCTCGCAGCCCAGAAGCAGCAGCCATCCAGGAGCCGAAGTGGCTGAGCTGTGCTCACTTTCTCAAATCCGGCCCTCTTTTCTTCTCCTTCCAGGCTGAGTAGCTCCACGGAGCAGAGCACGTCGTCCCGTCTGATTCGCAAGCACAAGCGTCGGCGAAGGAAACAGAAAATGCGACAGATCGACCGGGTGAGAGGCTGGGATGCAGTGCTTGTCAATCTAGGTTAAAAATGTCCCAGCAGTTCCCCTTTCTGGATCAGGCTGACACTCCCCTCTGACATAGATCAGAGTTGGCTTCAGCGAGGGATGGCAAAGATACAGGAAGAATGGCCTTTTTTGTTGGCCTTAACGGAAGGCACTGTGGCATCTGGTTCCTCCTCTTCCTCATTGGAAGATGCCAATCTCTTGGCCTCCCACAGAGGGGTCAAAACGTGGTTTTGTGGCCTTGTATGGGGGCCCCAGAGGACCTCCCAACTGTGGGGCTGGCTAGTCCCTTGGGAGCCCCGCCTCGCCTGTAATAATCCAACGCTAAATGGCCATCTTAGGCTCCCCCCCCCATTTTGATGTTGAATTGTTCTATAATTTTGCAATGTTTAACCCCGATTTAATTTTTAATTTCTAACGTTGATCTTTATATGTCATTTTATGTACCAATTATATTATATTACACACTGCCCAGAGCCCCTCTTTGAGAGCGATAGGCGGTTCAGAAATATGACATGTTATAAATAAATACCTTTGTGGCAAGCAGCCGGTGCTCACCGCTGGCGAATGGCAGGCACTCCCAGACAGATGTTTTGCAGCTGCTCTGGCCACCAATAGTCGGAAGCCATGTTGACTCTCTCTCTCTCTCTCTCCTGTTCTGTCTTCCAGTCTTCCTCCTTCAGCAGCATCACCGATTCCACCATGTCCCTCAACATCATCACGGTCACCCTCAACATGGGTAAGCCCCACCGGCTACACTGGGAAAGATTTGTGGGTGTTGGGAAATCTTGAGAGTGAGAAAAAAATGACAACTAACCGGTGCCAAATCAACATTGGGCAACTGGCGTCTTTGGCTCTGGTTTGGAGGTCATAACCTCACACAAAGCAAAGAAAATCCGCTTTAACGGTCTCCATGTACTATATGGCTGTTCTCTTTCTTGACGTCAGAAAAATACAATTTTCTGGGAATCAGCATCGTAGGACAGAGCAACGACAGGGGCGACGGTGGCATTTACATCGGCTCCATCATGAAGGGCGGGGCAGTGGCGGCGGACGGACGAATTGAGCCAGGCGACATGCTTTTGCAGGTTGGTTGAGAAGCTGGCAACAGAGGGGCCTTCTTGACTGGGCCTCAGTTTCCTTCCTTGGCCCGTCCTCTTTCTCGCTTAAATTTTAAAAGGGCTGCTTCCCTAAGTTCCCCATCGGCCAGCATCCCTGAGCGTCAACTCATAAAATATTTCCCTGGTCTTTTTAGAGTTGCCAACAGAAAGGGAGGGGGGGGAAAGGGGTTTGAAAGAGCAGCGTGGCAGCTCGGAAATTGAAAGTGCATTCTATACATCGTTTTTCCAAAGATAGTAACTAGGTGACTGAAGTTTCTGCCATGCACAGCTTTAACTGGAGAACATGATGGATGACTCTTGGCTATGGATGTATCCCATTGGAGAATATGAATTATGATACACCCAGAGGGGTGGGGGGGAAACCAGGGTCAAGGGTGACGATGAATTATGTGTCTCAGAGTTGGCTGCACCCAGGCAGTGCCGGACATGTTAACTCCCAATAAATCCTTTTGAAGTTTTGGAAGTTTGGCTCGAGACTCATGATTTAATTGGGGGTAACTGCCGGAATCCTGACACTGAGGATGATGGTCAGTGTCACCCAAAGAAAATAGCATTAGGGAAGGGTTGGTCTGCGCCCTTGCTGATCCATACTCTTGATATGTTGCAGGTGAATGAGGTAAACTTCGAGAACATGAGCAATGATGATGCCGTGCGGGTTTTACGGGAAATAGTCTCCAAGCCCGGGTGAGTCAGTGAATGTGGGAATACTATCCAAGCCGTGCTGCTTTTTTTCCTAACGAAAATACAGTTTGGGCCTCAAGCAGGGGGGAAGCCAGCCCCTTCCGTTTGGCAAATTTCTGTGCATTCTGACAAATATTTCTTTCTAACGCCTTTTGTGGGGCGCCTAAGGTTTGAGAGAGAGCCAGTTATGAATTCATTTCAGTGATGCTTTCTCTCATATTGAAGGGACGCGGCGGCTCAGCGGCTAAGACGCTGAGCTTGTCGATCAGAAAGGTCGGCCGTTCGGCGGTTCGAATCCCTAGCGGTGCGGAACGGAGTGAGCTCCCGTTCCTTGTCCCGGCTTCTGCCAACCTAGCAGTTCGAAAGCATGTAAAAAAAAAAAATGCAAGTAGAAAAATAGGGATCCCTTTGGTGGGAAGGGAACAGCATTCGTGTGCCTTCAGCATTTAGTCCTGCTGGCCACATGACCACGGAGACGTCTTCGGACAGCGCTGGCTCTTCGACTTTGCGACGGAGATGAGCACCGCCCCCTAGAAATGACTAGCACGTGTGTGTGAGGGGAACCTTTACCTTTGTTTCTCTCAAATAAAATATCCCTTTAAAACAGAGGGACACAGCATGGCCTTCCGGGTGGAATTGTAGTTTTAGAGTCCTTGATCATGGCCTACATTGGTAGATGCTTTTGTGAACCATTGGAAGGATATAAATTCTCCATTTCTATGTTGGAGCCAGCTCTGTGGGTACCCTGAGGCCATCCTGTGTTTTGACTTGAGAGGAAATGCTGGTGTTTGATTATTCTCATAGAATTAGAGGGCTGGAAGGGACTTTGAGGATCTTCTAGTCCAGCCCCCTGTTTCAGTTTAGGCCACACAGTGATTTGCTTGTGGTTTGAGATTGATACCTAGCCAAGACCCATTTCAGTCATGTGAATTACTTCCTAGCCAGAAGAAGAGAAACCGGGAATCTCCTTTTAGCAATCTCTTGATCGCTAGAAATTACATACAAGTGAGTACATGGGAACCTGTCGTACAGGTGAGTGGATAGCAGGAAAGAAACAGTCTGTTCTTTGCCCAGGGTAAATGTTCAAGGGACAAAGAGAAAAAAAAGAGCTAAAGAAACAGTTGCGACTCTATTCCAGGGGTGAGCAGCTATGGGCCCTGTACGACCTGTGGACTTCAACTCCCCTACTTCCTGAGCCAGCAGGATTTCTGGGACTTGAAGTCCACAAGTCATAAAGGAGCCATGGCTGCCTACCATCCCTGTTCCATACCATCAGCCTGGTTGGTTATTTTTCAGATCAATCACTTAATGAGCCCATTTGAAGGACAGAAGCTGATTTCTCTTTTGCCTTAATTTTTTCTTCTTCTTTCGGTTTTCTTTTCCCAGACCCATCAGCTTAACGGTGGCCAAATGCTGGGACCCTACGCCCAGGAGTTACTTCACAATCCCTAGGGGTGAGTGTCCGCTCCTTGCTACAGTTTTCGGCATTAAGGAATATCAAGTTTTTTAGTCAACACTCTTCTACATTTGGTAAAGATTGCAAAGAGCAATGCTTCATACCCTTATCGCCTCTAGCCAAGATGGGGCGGCATATGCATTTAATAAATGATAAATATTTGGGAGTGCCTTACTCTGTTATCAAATCTTCTCAGTTTTTTTTTTATAGGAATATGATGATGGTGAGGTATGTCTTAGTTTTGCTATATTGTAAATATAGACATTCTATAGAGAACCAGGGTAAAATGTTTTGAAGTCCCCCTGATGCTTAATGAATTGTGTGGTTTGGGTAATCAGAAGGGATATGCAGGGATGGAATTCTGTCAGTATTCTCCCTTTTTGAAGGAGATGGGAGGTTCAAAAACGCATGAATGAATGAATGAATGAATGAATGAACGAACGAACAAGCTGTGGCAGTGGAGGAAAACTATGCCAGAGGAAAAATAAATTGATTTTTAATAGCTTACTATAGTGCAGCTATATGGTAGAACATAGCCCAACTTGGCTGATAAAGGGTTTTGTCCAGTTAGTTCTGGAGGAACTAACTAGGAAATCTCAAGACAAATAGGCAAAACCTGGGAAGTGAGAAAACATTCCCGATCCGATCAAGAGCAAATGGCTCCTGCATTGTGGCTGCAAAGTTACTAAGGGCTGAGCTTGATTGAAACAATCAATACTTTCTTGAAAAAGTTGGCATTCTGTGTTTTTGGGCTGGCTGTAGAGAAGAGGATTTTTCCCACTCTTCTTCCGCGATGAGGTTAGAAGCGCACGTGTCAACTAAAAAAATATTTATCTAGCCTTTCCGAGTTGACAGCAGAAAGGGAGTGGGGGAAGTAGTGCATTCCGTAAATGCTTCATAGATAATGGCTAGGCGGCCGAAGCTTCTGGCGCACAAGATTATTACTAGAAAGCATGATTAGTGACTCTTGGCTATGGATGTGTCCCATTGGAGAATATACATCCAGGGGGTGGAGGGGGGAAGACCAGGGTCAAGGGGGGAAAAGAATGATGTGTCTCAGAGTGCCTGCACCCAAGTAGCGCCGGCATGGTCACTCCTAATAAATCTTGTTGTTGTTGTTGTTTTTAACTCTGAGAGATGCGGCCAGAGACTCGTGATTTGAATGAGGGTGAATGCCGGGGCTTGTGAACATTTCGGCCTCTTTAACTTGGTTCAAAACATTATTTTTCCCACCCCGAGGTTGAACGAAACCGAACTAACGTTTGGCTGACTGCTTTGTTTTTTTTGTCTTTTTCCCTCCTCCTCCCTCCTTCCTCTCGTGATCCAGCTGAGCCGGTGCGGCCGATCGACCCCGCGGCCTGGATTTCTCATACCACGGCTTTGACGGGAGCATACCCCCGTTACGGTATGAGTCCTTCCATGAGCATCATCACTTCTACCAGCTCCTCACTAACAAGCTCAATTCCCGATTCGGAAAGTAAGTCGCCCTGCCGCCAGGACCAGGCCGGTTTCCTTCCTGCGCAGGGCTGGCAGAGTAGAGATAAAAAGAGACAGTGCCCCACCCCCCTCACCTCCCCATTGGCCCGCAAACCTTAACCCTCCTCCCAAATTAAAATGATTTCTGGCCCTTTTTAAGAGAACAGCCCTAAAAGAAGACCATTTCTTCCCTGCCAGGAGTCTCTTCCCAACAATCGCTAGTCCAGATGCTTTTAGTGCACTCTAGGATTAAAGTTCCCTGTCTGAAAGTTCCCATCCAGAGTAAATCCCATGCGGTCCTTTGGTCAGAGGGGGAGCTTAAGAGGTCTTCTAGTCCAACCCAGTGTAACTCTGACACTCATTCCAGCCTTCGTTTCAAAATTTCCAGCTGCATTAAACATTCCTATCATGGTCAGTAGCAAGGGATGGTGGGAAACGTAGTTCAACCAGGGGCATCCTGCTTGGTCTGACTTTGAGATCCTGGGAACGGCTGGTCCCTTGGCTGTTTGCAGCTGGCAGGGAGCTATGACATTCCGTTGGAGACACTGAGACGCCAGGGGAATTGAAAATACGAAGGGAGAAAGAGATAAACCCTAATGATCGGTAGCAGAAACGTGGGAAGATGTAGACACTCATCCCAGTTCAGCTCAGAACTCAAAACTGTTCGAGGGAGAGCGAAAACTCTGGCAACTTAAGTTTCCAAGCCAGCCCAGGTTTTTCATACCCAAAAGCATCCACATTGGAAGGCTGTTTATACACCCCCTGAGAAGAGAATATATGTAGCTCAGGGCTCTCTCTGAGCTTGCAGACGTTTCATTACCCAACTAGATAACACCATCGGTGCTAGAAGGGGAGAGAGAGCAAACCCCAGTTCCTTGTTAACCCTGATGAGGTTACCTAGTTGGGTAATGAAACGTCTGCAAGAAAACCACCAAGCTCAGAGAGCACCAAGGGCCCCAATATAAGCCCCTTAATCTCTTTAATTAGGCTCTCACCAAAGAACTTTCTGGTGGATACAAGCTAGCAAAAACCTGGTAATTATGGGCACACACGCGCGCGTACACACACACACCCCAAAGCAGAAATTTCCCCTCCATTCTCAGGACAGGCTCCCGCCGTGTGAGGTTGCTTTCTTTCCCTCTGCCTTGCTCTTCTTCGCCTCTCCTGACAAGCGCTCCTTCTGCAGAATCAGCATCTCCCATCTCTCTTCCCCTTTCAGAACTGGATGAGACTCCCTTGACGGTGAAAACCGACATGGCCACCATTGTCAAAGTGATGCAGTTGCCAGATTCAGGGCTGGAAATTCGGGACAGGATGTGGTTAAAAATCACCATCTCCAACGCAGTGATTGGTAAGCTCTTCCCAGCCCGAATCGAATTTCTCCCTAGATTTCCTTACTTTTAATGGCGGCAATGAGGAACCTGGCAAAATGTTGGCCAAACTCAGCAACTTCCCGTCGAAGAGTTGCTCAGGATTTTCTCCCTGATCAATCCAGAATGACCCTGAGCATCCTTTGGGATTCGCAAAGAAAGTGTCACTGAAGGATGAGTAGAGGATAACTCAAGCTGTACCTCAGCAGTTGTCAGAGTATCTTACTTTGAGTAGCAATTTACAGGTGGTCCTTGTCTTATGATCACAATGGAGCACATGTCTGTTGCTAAGTAAGACAGGTGTCAAGTGAGTTGGGCCTCTTTTTAGGACCCATTTTGCACAGTTGTTAAGCGAATCACCACAGTTAAGTGAATCCTGCCGTCATTAAGTGAATCTGGCTCCCCCCCCCACTGACTTTGTATCTATGTATCTAAGTATCTCTCGAAACATAGAGATGATAGATAGATAGATAGATAGATAGATAGATAGATAGATAGATAATTGATAGATAGATAGTTAGATAGATGAAGGAGAGAGAGATATATAGAGATGAGAGGGAAAGAGGTGATGGATAGAGAGATGAT